CACATTTCGTGACTTAGCTCAAACCAAAGCCAGATCAGCTAATCACTTTCGGCACTTCTGCCAGCCAACCATAGCGCTAACAGCTGAGTCCACGTAGCAATTATTTTTCCCCACACATTTAGTTAGAACTTCTGCTCTCAGTCATTATCAATCCTAACGTTAGCTCTTCCTCTGTGCTGTGGAGCAGATCGCTGTCATTTCTCACACATGTTAAAGCAAATGTAAACTGTCGCTCTTCCTCTCGACTCCTCTTCATAAACACCTCTCAGTTCGTCGTCTGTGCTGCGGCGGAAGAAACCATTGTTTTCTGGAGGGTTTTCAAAAAGGCGGAGGAAGTCGTAGAGAGTTGCGTTGTTCCCTCCCCTCCTTCCTGTCGACACTGCTGTTACCATCGGTCTGTGTAATAAGTGCATCCCAGTTTTCCCATATGGCCGAAGACACCGGGGAACTCAAGTATTTCGCTTGATAAATGATTCACAGTTGGAAAACAAGTGCTGTTGTAGAGCGCTCTCCAGTGATACATTTGGTTTCTATTATAAAGAGCTGATGTAAGCCCGGAATACACACACACACACACACCCTCACCCCCCAATAATGGGTGAGATTCTGCACCATTGATTACAGTCATTACACTGTAGCACTGATGAGTCTTTGTCAATGAGATCTAAGGCTGTGGAGAAAGAAAATAATCTGCAGAGGAGTCTGAATCCTACAAATATAAAATTAAAATCTAAATTCCAGCATTGATTACACTGATTACACTGTAGCACTGATGAGTCTTTGTCAATGAGATCTAAGGCTGTGGAGAAAGAAAATAATCTGCAGAGGAGCCTGAATCCTGCAAATAATAAAATTAAAATCTAAATTCCAGCAGTGTTGGAAAGTTCCAGTCCAGTCAGTCAAAAAAAAAAAACAATCAGTTTCTGTAGGTGAAGCTCCAACACACGTGGATACGGACGACACCTGAGGAAACTCTGAAGACATTGATTTCACAACGGGTTCCTGCGCGAAATTTTGTTCCGTAAAAATATCCTTCAACTCTTTCTCTGCCGCTTTAAAACTATGAACGAGAGAGGAGTAAAAGGTGACGCTTCACCAGCCTTTCACAACAGCCATTCACACTCACATTCACACCTACGTATGGTTTAAAGAGTGAACGATTCGATTCATCACAAGTCACGCAATCGTGGGAAGAACAACAAACTCCTAACAAGAAGCAGGTGATCGGTTTGCTGTAAGGCAAGAACACTAACCACTATCCCACTGACAGGCCTATGATTTGGAAATAGGCGACCAATGTTTTCACACGTCAGTATGATTGACAGTAAAAAAACAAACTAAAAAACAAAATCATGATTTGAAATATTTCTGCCACAGTATACAGTACCTAAACTAACCCTCCGTCAGCCAATCGTGGCAAAGAGACCGAAATTTAAATTATTTGTAAATTTAAGACGTATTCAAGACCAAACAAATCATGAAATCCATATTTTTTAGAAAAACATTAATATTAGTAT